CATGCGGAGGAGCAGGAGGAGAAAGATACTGATGCTGAGGAGGATGCCCCCCCCATCCCCCCACTCCGTCGTTTGGGGGTGCTGGGGCGGGGGGCGAGCATACATGTGTATGCGTGTGTCTGAATGTGTATGCATGCATTGTTTTGCTTGTGAATAAAGGTGGTGAAGGTTGAGAATGTGAGTTGTCAAATGCGAATGTTGTGCGGTGTGTGTTGTGTGTGGGTGTGGTGGTGTGAAGGTTTGTTTCCCAACCATCCTGTGTGTTGGGGTCCTCGGTTTGGAAGTGACGTCGCACGCGTTCCTCCTTCTCCTCATTCATCCTACTACCCAAGCCTCACCAACCACTCCCCTCACCCCATTCTGGCACAACAATCACAAGTTTCTGGGCCCCATTGGGGAGCTCCAACGTACCAGGTCCCAGGGTGGGCTGCGCCGCATTGCGGTTCAAACCCCCATTCTGGCACAACCTCACACGTTTCGTTGCCCCAATAGGGAGCTCCACCGGAGGCCCCAGTGACTGGCCAGCATGCGGTTCCAACCCCTCTTTCTAGGACCAACCCAACCACTCCCTCACACGTTTCGTGGCCCCATAGGGAGCTCCACCGAAGGCCCCAGTGGCTGCGCCAGCATGCGGTTCCACCCCCCCAGTCTGGCACACCCCTCACACGTTTCGTGGCCCCATAGGGAGCTCCACCGAAGGCCCCAGTGGCTGCGCCCGCATGCGGTTCCACCCCCCCATTCTGGCACACCCCTCACACGTTTCGTGGCCCCATAGGGAGCTCCACCGAAGGCCCCAGTGGCTGCGCCCGCATGCGGTTCCACCCCCCATTCTGGCACACCCCTCACACGTTTCGTGGCCCCATAGGGAGCTCCACCGAAGGCCCCAGTGGCTGCGCCCGCATGCGGTTCCACCCCCAATTCTGGCACACCCCTCACACGTTTCGTGGCCCCATAGGGAGCTCCACCGAAGGCCCCAGTGGCTGCGCCCGCATGCGGTTCCACCCCCCATTCTGGCACACCCCTCGCAGTTTCGTGGCCCCATAGGGAGCTCCACCGAAGGCCCCAGTGGCTGCGCCCGCATGCGGTTCCACCCACCATTCTGGCACACCCCTCACACGTTTCGTGGCTCCATAGGGAGCTCCACCGAAGGCCCCAGTGGCTGCGCCCGCATGCGGTTCCACCCACTATTCTTGCACACCCCTCACAGGTTTCGTGGCCCCATAGGGAGCTCCACCGAACGCCCCAGTGGCTGCGCTCGCATGCGGTTCCACCCCCCATTCTGGCACACCCCTCGCACGTTTCGTGGCACCCATAGGGAGCTCCACGAACGCACCAGTGGATGCGCTCGCTTGCGGTTCCACCCCAACATTCTGGCACACCCCTCACACGTTTCGTGGCTTCATAGGGAGCTCCACCGAAAGGCCCCAGTGGCTGCGCCCGCATGCGGTTCCACCCCCCATTCTGGCACACCCCTCACACGTTTCGTGGCCCCATAGGGAGCTCCACCGAACGCTCCAGTGGCTGCGCTCGCATGCGGTTCCACCCCCCATTTCGGCACACCCCTCACACGCTTCGTGGGTGGCTCTATGGGGAGCTCCACCGAAGGCCCCAGTGGCTGCGCTCGCATGTGGTTCCCCCCCCATTTCGGCACACCCCTCACACGGTTCGTGGCCCCATAGAGAGCTCCACCGAAGGCCCCAGTGGCTGCGCTCGCATGCGGTTCCACCCCCATTTTCGGCACGCCCTTCACACGTCTCGTGGCCCCATAGGGAGCTCCACCGAACGCCGCAGTGGCTGCGCTCGCATGCGGTTCCACCCCCCATTTCGGCACACCCCTCACACGTTTCGTGGCTCCACAGGGAGCTCCACCGAAGGCCCCAGTGGCTGCGCTGGCATGCGGTTCCACCCCCCATTCTGGCACACCCCTCACACGTTTCGTGGCCCCATAGGGGGCTCCACCAAAGGTCCCAGTGGCACTGCCCGCTTGCGTCCGCCACCACCCAGCACAGCCCTTTTTCCCTGCGCTTCACCCACCCAGAACAGCGATTCGTAGCCCCCCTATAGGGAGCTCCACCAAAGGTCCCAGCGGCACCGCCCGCATGCGTCCGCCACCACCCTGCGCAGCCCTTGCTCCCTGCCTGCGTTTCACCCACCCAGTACAGCGCTTCGTGGCCCCATAAGGAGCTCCACCGAAGGTCCCAGTGGCACCGCTCGCATGCGTCCGCCACCACGCAACACAGCCCTTGCTGACCGCGTCTCACCCACCCAGTACAGCGTTTCGTGGCCCCATAGGGAGCTCCACCGAAGGTCCCAGTGGCACCGCCCGCATGCGTCCGCCACCACCCAGCAAAATTGCGGCATTCACAACTGCATATGGTTGGGTCCTTCGCCAGGCTAATTTTTATGTGCGCGGGTATGTGTGAATGGGTGTGCATGTGTGTGAAATGTGCATATGTGAGTGTGAATGTGAGTGCACGCGTGGGTGCGAATAGTTGTGGATGTGTGTGTGTGTGATTGTGTGTGTGACTGTGTATGCATGCGTGTGAATGTGTGTGTGTGTGCGTGTAAGTGTGAGTGTGAGTGTGATTGTAGGGGTGTGAGTGTGAGTGTGAGTGTGTGTGTGTGTGAATGCGTGTGCATGCGTGCGAATGTGTGTGCATTGAGTGTGGGTGTGAGTGTGTGTGTGAGTGCGTGTGTGTGAACGTGTGTGCATGTGTATGATTGTGTGTGAGTGTGAGTGTGAGCGTGTGTGTGTGTGTGAATGTGAGTGTGAGTGTGTGGGTGTGTATGTGTGTGCGCACATGTGTTTGAATATGTTCATGTGCTTCAATGTGTGTACATGTGCGTGGGTGTGAGTGTGAGTGTGTGTGTGTGAGAGGTTGTGTTTGTGTGAACGTGTGTGTGTGAGTGTGTATGCGTTCATCTATGTGCAAGTGCGTGTGAGTGTGAATGTGTGTGCATGTATGTAAATGTGCGTTTGTGAGTGTGAGTGTGAGTGCACGCGTGGGTGCGAATATTTGTGGATGTGTGTGTGTGATTGTGTGTGTGACTGTGTATGCATGCGTGTGAATGTGTGTGTGCGTGTAAGTGTGAGTGTGAGTGTGATTGTAGGGGTGTGAGTGTGAGTGTGAGTGTGTGTGTGAATGAGTGTGCATGCGTGCGAATATGTGTGCTGGTGTGTGGGTGTGTGGCTTATGTAGTGTGAGTGCGTGTGTGGTGAACGTGTTGTGCGTTGTGTATGATTGTGTGTGGAGTGTGAGTGTGAGCGTACATGTGATGTTTGTGTGTGTGTGATTGTGAGTGTGAGTGTGTGGGTGTGTATGTTGTGCGCACATGTGTTTGAATGTGCTTATGTGCTTCTATGTGTGCACATGTGCGTGGGTGTGAGTGTGAGTGTGTTTGTGAGAGGTTGTGTTTGTGTGAACGTGTGTGTGTGTGAGTGTGTATGCGTTCATCTATGTGCAAGTGCGTGTGAGTGTGAATGTGTGTGCATGTATGTAAATGTGCGTTTGTGAGTGTGAGTGTGAGTGGAAGTGTGCGTGTGAGTGTGTGAATGTGTGTGCATGTCTGTGAATGAGTGTGTGAGTGTGAATGTGAGTGTGAGTGTGTGTGTGGGCGTACGTGTTAGTGCGTGTGTGTGTGAACGTGTGTGTGAATGTGTGTGAATGAACGTGCACGTGTGTGAATGTGTGTGAATGTGAGTGTGAGTGTAAGTGTGTGCGAAAGTGTGTGTGTGTGTGTGTGAATGTGCGCGCATGTGTGTGAATGCGTGTGCGCGAGCCTGAGTGTGAGTGTGTGTGTGTGTGTTAGTGTGTGTGAATGTGTGTGCATGCGTGTGAAAAAAAATAATGTATACGCATGTGTGTGAATGTGTGTGTGAGTGCGAGTGTGAGTGTGAGTGTGTGTGTGTGAGAGAGGTTGTGTGTGAGTGTGAGTGTGACTGTGTGCGCGTGTGCGTGTGCAAGTCTGAATGTGAGTGTGAGTGCGTGTGTGTGTCTGTGTGTGTGAGAGTGAGTGTGTGTGTGTGGATGCGTGTGCATGTGTAACTGTGTTTTAATGTGTGCATGTGTGTGAGTGTGTGTGTGTGGGTGGAAGTGTGACTGTGAGTGCGTGTGTGACAGAGTGTGTGTGCGTGTGTGAATGTGTGTGAATGTGTGTGAACGTATGCGGACATGTGTGCATGTGTGTGAACGTGCGTGTGGTAATGTGAGTGTGAGCGTGAGTGTGTGCGTGTGTGGGTGAGAGTGTAAATGTGAGTGTGTGTGTGTGTGTGCGTGTGAGCGTGTGCGTGTGAGTGTTTGTGTGTGTGCGTGCGTGTGTATGTGTGTGCGTGTGTGTGTGTGTGTGTGTGTGTGCGTGTGTGTGTGTGCGTGTGTGTGTGTGTGCGTGTGTGTGTGAATGCGCGTGCATGTGTGTAAATGTGTGTGAGTGTGAGTGTGCGTGTGAGTGTGTGTGTGTGTGAGCGTGTGTGTGTGTGTGTGTGCGGGCGGGCGCGTGTGTGAGTGTGTGTGTGTGTTCGTGTGTGTGAATGTGTGTGTGAATGTGTGTGAATGTGTGAATGTGTGTGAGTGCGAGTTTGAGTGGGAGTGTGAGTGCGAGTGTGAGTGTGAGCGTGACTGTGTGAGTGTGAGCGTCAGAGTGAGAAGAGTGTGTGTGAGTATGTGTGTGTGTGCCGCTGCCCGCGATCTTCGGTCGGAGATCGGTCCACCTGCTGCCTGCGGAGACCCCAAAGTGCCCACCGAGAGCCACACGAGGGCCCCGAGGCAGCCCGGGACGGCCCCAAGAAAGCCCCAGCTGGCTCAACAGGGCCTCCAGAGGAACCCAAAAAGGCCAACGAGGGCCCCTAGACCGCCCAACCTAGAGACACCCTGGTCCGCCAAGGGGGCCCCAAGAAGGCCACAAGACGGATCAGAATGGCGTCAAGGAACCCGCAAGAAGGCCAAGAAAGCCCCAAGATGGTCGAAATAAGACCCATGGGAGCTCATCAAGAAATCGAGACGAGAGGTGTCACGTGTGACGGCCGTCCTAACAATGAGATCAGGGCTGCCACACAGAATGCTTCGCTGGCACGCTGGCGGATTTGCCGCAAGCAACTGGATATCATCAAAAATATGCCACTGCAACCGAAGACACGGAAGGACCCTTGCCGCTCACTCCCAGATCAGCGTCCACAAGACCCACATGATGGGTACAACCTGGTGGAGGAATCATAACGTCGTTGTGGTCGTCCTCTCCCAGCAGGCCTCCGACTGCAAAACCTGCCCGTCCCAAATGTTTCACGTAAACGTTCAAGTAGCTGATGCAACTTTGCGTGTGTCCTTGAACAACCTTCAGCTCAACCTTCCCAAAAGCAACCCATTCTGGAGTCTCGACTGCACGTGTCGACACGGCGTAACGATACCCTCCAGCTCGCCTTGCCTCTGCGAAAGACCCCGTAACATTGACACCGACGAAGTACATGTCCGCGCAAGAGCTACCCATTCGGAGCGCATCAGCCTGCACTCGAAGCAATGCCTCGTCAGGGCGCACTCCTCGAGGGATGTTAATCAACACGTGCTTGCCTGGCTGCATTAAATCGAACCGCTCACCGTGAACGTTCTGCAGGTGGGGGTCGCCAGTGGCAGCCGCTCCGCCGGCTCCGCCCGCCATGGCAGCCCCTGGAGGAAACGTCGGATGCGGCGTCGGCCAACCGACAGGATACGTTGGGCTGGGCGTCGGGCTCGGCGTTGGGTAAGGCGTTGGGAAAACCGTCGGGTAGGGCGTCGGGAAGGGCGTCGGGAAGGGCGTCGGGTAGGGCGTCGGGAAGGCCGTCGGGAAGGGCGTCGGAGAGGGCGTTGGGGAAGCCGCGGTGGTAGCCGATCCTGCGAAAAGCCATGCTTGGTGTTGGAAGAGCTGCACGCCAGACGACCCAGCGCCGTGTATGAAGTATTCCCCGAAAGGGGCATTGACATTGTTGGGCCAATTCTGCGTCTTCAGCCCGATCCCAATAGGAGAGTCGGCGTCGCTGGTATCATATGGCTGGCAGCTCTGGTCAGGGAGGTTCACGCAGTACCCGATGCGGGCCCAGTTGTTGTCATTGCACTGGGTGTTGATCCCTGGCCGCTGCATATTGCAATTGCCGCCTCCGTTCCCGTTCCAATAGTCGTCGTACCAGGTCGGGGTCCCCGGCGGCAAAAACAGATCTGTCCAGGCCTGCTTCGCTGCGTCGGCGGCTCCAGCGCCATAACCCAGATTTTCGCTGCGGATGAATCCCGAGCTGAAGAGAGCGCTTGCGCTGGTGTACGTCGCGCCCAGCTCGTACGTGTAGCAGTTGTCCAGCGTCTTGTAGCACAACGTCAGGGAGGAGATCGGGTCTGTGTTGAATGCCGACATCTTGACGTCCTCGTCGTCAGAGTCGCTGACCTAAGCGCCGCCAGCTTCGTTCAACACAGAAGTGTCGGTCCAATAGCTGGCGTCATACTGGAAGGTATTGGAGCCCGCCCTCAGCTTCATCAGCAGCGTCGGCGCCGAACTTGGCGATGCAACACAATCGACGGTCGTATCGAGTGTCGCATAATCAGTGTCTGTAATCGTTTTCAAAGTTGTCCATGTGACCGCATCGTTTGAGCCTTCCATGTAGGCCGTCCCACTCGCGCTGTGATCACCTCTCCAAAACCAAATCTTGACCCGATCGACTTGTGTCGGCACTCCGAAGTCGTACGCCAACCACCCAGCCCCTCGGGGATAACCATCACCGGCTTCATTGCAATATCCACTGCCATACATTGCATAATTGCTTTGATCGAAAGCTTTCTCGGGGCTCCAATCCGAGTAGAATCCGGAAGTAGCAAAAGCGCACGGTGCACTGCCGCAGTGAGTTGCAGGTGTTGAGAGCACGCTACCACCGTACAAGTACTGCATCTCATTGATGCACAGATGATGCGGGTTTGCACTCGCGACTGGGACATAGTACCTGTAGTAGCGCCACGCACCGCATGCCGCCTCGACTGCTACGGTATGCGATCCAGTTGCTGTGAAAGTATGAATTTGGTAGCCATTGCTCGTGGTGACTGTGCCACCTTGGAGCAACGGGATGGAACTCAGGTACTTGATGATCACGATGCCAGACCCTCCGTTGCCAGCCAAGGAAGACTCAGGATCCGTGCCGCCGCCACCACCGCCAGTGTTTGCCTGCCCATCTTCGCCCTTGAAGTAAGCGCCGCCATCGCCGCCGCCCCCTAGGCCGCCGGCCCCTCCTGGATAAGTGGTGCAACCGCAGTTTGCGTTGACGCCACCGCCACCGCCTCCGCCGTAATACGTAGAGGTGCCTGAAATCGACGACGCCACTCCAACGCCACCATCTCCTCCGTAATGCTGCTGGGGCGCGTCGCTCCCAAAGCCGCCCGCACCGCCGCCGCCACCGCCTGCGCCGTACCCCCCCCTGTCGCTGCGCCCACCCCGGTAGCCCTGTCCCGCGACCCCAGCCGCGTAGGCAACACTCGGCAGATCGTAGGCGCCTCCACCGCCTGAGCCTCCGCTGGAGGCAGTCCTGGAACTGCCCCCCGCACCCTTGCCACCGCCATATGCCACCAGAGAGCCGATCGAAGAATCTCCTCCGTTCGTCGCCTCCGCAGTGGTGCCGCTGCCCCCCGAACCTCCGAGACCGCCGGTGCCAACCGTGATGACTTCGTCGACAGACATGACCAGACCCGTCCCTTGGAGCACACCGCCGCCGCCGCCGCCTCCGGAAGCGCCGCCACCGCCGCCGCCGACAATCAGGTATTCCACTGTCAGGGTCGACTGCGCCGCCTGCTTCTCCCAGGTGGCAGCTGCGTCAGTGGCGGTCGCCGCGCGAGGCTCGGCCCTGTCGAGGTGCAAGGCTCCTGCGCAGCCTAGCAAGATGAACAGCGCCGGTGTGTCCGACGGCTTCATGGCACCGAGGAGGGTGCTGAGAGATGCTGAAGCACGAATGTGAAGGTGTGTTACAAAATGCTTGAACCATACATGCATGGATAGGGACACAATAAACGGCCATCCCACTACAAAGATCACGACACTCTGGGCACCACTGGGCCCTTGATAGATCCCCTGGCAAACCCGCTCGTGGAAGGCGCAAGCGCCATGCCTGCCCTAAAAACTGGATCACTGGGCGCAACTGGTGGGGCGCAAGGCTCAGTCGACTTTGTGGTGGCGCGGTTCTCGCGGTTTCAGGGGGGCGCGGGCGCATCACCCCAAGAGAATGCCCCAAAGGGACACTCTAGAATGCCGCCAGAATGGCTGAAGTCCGGATCCCCCTTCGCTCTTGACTGTAAGCAAATATATATGAAATACGCAGGCTGTAACATGTAATACGTAAAACTTGCTACTTATGTGTACTGTGTGGCTCACTCGCACTTTTCGGGCTCCAGGCCTACAAGACGTCTGATACCCACAGACGGTCAAAGTGCCCTCAATAAGCCATCCGTCTATCAAACCACACCACGCGAGTTGTCAGCCTGGCAACTAATCAGAAAAAGCAACTGATCAACCCCATCGACCCAGCCATGCAAGCAATCAGAAGGGTGCCCGGCGGCAGAAAACAAAGCCCTTACGATTTTGTGAATCAGTGCGGGTATTGGTAGGAATGGGTCTTAGTTAATTGTGCGTGCGTCTGCCTGTGAGCGCTTGCTTGGGTATGGAGGGGTCTGAACTGACCGAGTCTAGGTGTGAGTGGGCTTGACTGTGAACGGATCCGAGCATGGGCATGAGTGAAGGGATCCTGGGGGGTCCTGGGGCTTCCCAGGGGGTTCTGAAGCCTTTAGGGGGGTCCCGGGGCCCCCCTGGGCTTCCTGGAGCCTGCAGCCTCCTGGAGTGTTCTCAAGCCTCCCGGGGCTTCGGGGAACCTCCCGATGCAACTCTCCTGGTCGACCCTCCATGGCATGGTGTGATGTTTATGGGACTCTGAAAAGAATCTCGTCTCTCCCCCAAGAGCGGCAACTGTATTTTTCTGCTCCGGAACAGAAACTCCGTTTGTAGCATGGCATTGTCACGAGTAATCATGCACGGCAAGCGTGATCCGCGGCAATGACCCCTGGCATGCTGAGGCGTGGTAGAACGCCAAGCGCTGCCTGGCAGGGCATCTGTAGTCTTCTGAAGCACTTCCTTTCATCACGTCCAGTTGCGTGCATCGCCACCCCCACCTTCCCGAGGCTCCGTGGGCCGCCCAGACTCCTCCCTTGGCGCTCACCAAAGCTTTCCGAGGCTTCCACGGCAGCGGGGGAAGCCCGAAGCCGCCAACATGACCCAACAGTGTCTCAAGAGGCCCCCAACAGCTGCCAAAAAACGCTGCATGCACCTGAATAAGCCACCAAGATGCTCCCAGACCCCCCCGAGGCGCTCTCGAGAAGGGGGGCAACACACACACAGAGGCACACATGCACACATATTTGTGTGGATGTATGTATGTAGGTGTGTATATATATGTATATACATATACATATACATATATAGTTATGTATATGTATATATACATATACATATACATATACATATATATGTATATATATATGTATGTATGTGTACATGTATATATGTATATATACGGATGTATATATATATACCCATGTATGACCATATGTATCTTCTTTTATACGCACACGTATGTATATAAATGTGGACGCCCCCCGCCCCAACACCCCCAAACCACCCGCAAAACAAACAAACCGCCAAGATCGTGGTTATCCTCAATCCTTCTCCGGCTCCTCCTCGTTTCCGTCCTCCTCATTCTCAGAAACTGAAAGCGACTCTTTTGAGCTCGTTTGAGGAGGGGTCACGTCTCTGAGCGTAGGGGCCTGAAATCGCTGTGTTGTTTCAGTTTTTTACAAAAAATATGTATATTTGTTTCCTGGTGTTATTTTTTTCTGATTTCTGGCAGAGACTACGCAAGTTGGCTAGTCTCTCCCATTGAAACCCGAAAACCAGAAAAAAAACAAGAAAACCTGAAAACCACAGCGTTGTCAGTCCCTCTACCTTCTCCGTCTACTCCTCGTAATCCCGTCCTCCTCCTTCTCAGAAACTGAAAACGACTCTCTTGGGCTCATTTGAGGAGGGGTCACGTCTCTGAACGTAGGGGCCTGAAAACGCTGTTTGTTTCATGTGTTTCTGTTTTTTTCTGGTTTTTCTGATTTCTGGCAGAGACTAACGCAAGTTGGCTAGTCTCTCCCAGGAATCCGAAAAACCAGAAAAACCAGAAAAACATGAAAAACACAGCGTGTTCAGTCCCTCTACGCTAAGGGAGGAGGATTGTGAGAGGATACAGGAGTGATGCGAATGAGCGGAGGCCGAACCGTGTGAGTGTGCCGAGATTGACTTGGGGCCTTCGGTAGAGGCTCATCTGCGTGGTCACGGAACGTTTGAAGGGTGCGCCGAAGAAATTCCCCACGTTTCCCCTTCCATTCCAAACAACAGCATGGGTGAATGCAAGTGTTGCCTTTTGTGCAACATTGTAGCGTCACGACAGATCAGAAACAATATGCGTATCCGCGCACATCTCGCTCGGGCACTCCCGGTACGTTTGCCCAGCGTCTCGCAGCGCGGACAGCATTCCAACGATAAGCTTCACAGGTCATATGTGGCAAGCAAAAGGGCTGCGCATCGGCGTGCGCATCAGCTGCAGCAGATACTACTGCGCCCGGTTCAGTCAGAGGCCGAGCCCTCGCCCACGTGCGGGAAGGACCACTCGCCACCTGAAGCGGCGGCCGCGCCCTCGGCCATCGTCGCGGCGATATCCTGCGAGGAGACGTCGGCGGCTGGCGGGCGCGCTGGGGACAACAGGTCGATGCTCGAGCCGTGGGCCTCCCTCCCGCGCTCGATGATACTCTCCTTCATCGCCTGCATGGCCCTCTCGCGCTCCTCCTCGTCCATGGTGGACACGTCGGGGCAAGCCAGGCGCTCGGCGCCGCGCTTAAGCGGCTGCGGCGAGGAGATGTCGCTCACGTGGCCGTGAAAGGCCACCGCGCGATCGCAGAGGCATTGCTAAACGGCGCGGCAGACATTCAGCTGCTCATCGACATCGCGCGTATCTTCGCGAACGGGGCGCGAGGCGCTGGTCGGCTGACCAGCGGCCGCTCGCGGGAACCATTCGCTCCCCTGCCTGTCGCTCGGCGGCTGCGTGGCCACCTCTGGGAAGTTGCATCTCGTGGGCGCGTCCTGGTCGAAGAGCGTTGGGCCACGGACCGTCGATGACTGCCCGAGCTCCTCGCCCCGCGCTAACTTCTTCATGGCGGCCACGGCCCACCTCATGTGTTGGTCGTAGTCGGATGGAACGCGAGTCTGGTCTTTCTTGAATGCCGTGAGGATGTCGCACGTCTCGGGCGTGAAGAGATCTGGTTTCGCGGGCACTGGCCGCGGAAAGCGAGGGGCTGGCTCCTTCGTCGTGGATGCCGCCCGAAAGTACACCCGGTTCGGCGAGAGGAGCACGACGTTGGACCTCGCCATGTACGCCTCCACGTCCGCCATCTTGTAGCTGCACTGCTTTTCGCAGATGAAACTGCAGCCGATGATCTGGATGAAGTCACTGAATGCTACCTCTTCCTGCTCCCTGCTGACGGACTCGGCCGTCGCCTCGAACTCCTCGTTATACGGATTGACGCAGATCTGGCGGGACTGGTTCTGCTCGAAAGAGGCGCCGCCCCACCTGTGCAGCGCGCGGAAAACTACAAAACACAACCAAAGCCCCTGGTAAACTTATTAACGTAATTTGGATGCGTTCAAACAATTTTGTTTCCAAGAAATGCATTTCCCCGCGCGCCGCCGCTTCGCCCAAAGCAGCGCGTCTTCCTCGGCGGGGTCGAGGAAAGCCTTGATCTCGTCGGGGCCCCACTTGGCCAGCGCGGTATCGTCTGCGATGGCGGGCTTGATTATGGTCCCAGGCTCCAATCGCAGGAAGCCGATCTTCTTCGCAGCGATGACGATCGGGCGGAGGTCAGCGCGGCAGTGCTTCTCAATCTGGTAAGCAGAAATAGCGAAGCCGATCGTTTTGGATGCTGTGGATTTGCCGACCCTGGTCTTTCCGATCCACATGGTCCCATGGACGTCGGGGCCCCTAAGGATGGGGGCGACGATGCGGTCGAACAGGAACGGGCCAATCCGCTTGAGAGTGACCGCCCAGCGCTCGAGTGTCCTCGCGCCGACAGTGCCCGACGCGTAGTTGCGGAGCGACTCCTTGACGTCTG